AGACCTGTAGGCAGAAAATTATAAGACATTGATGAAAGAAATTAAAGGTGATACAAATAGATGGTGAGATATACCATGTTCTTGGATTGGAAGAATCAACATTGTGAAAATGACTCTACTACCCAAAGCAATCTACAGATTCAATGCAATCCCTATCAAACTACCAATGGCATTTTTCACAGAACTAGAACGAAAAATTTCACAATTTGTATGGAAACACAAAAGACCCCGAATAGCCAAAGCAATCTTGAGAACGAAAAACGGAGCTGGAGGAATCAGGCTCCCTGACTTCAGACTATACTACAAAGCTACAGTAATCAAGACAGTATGGTACTGGCACAAAAACAGAAAGATCAATGGAACAGGATAGAAAGCCCAGAGATAAACCCACACACATATGGTCACCTTATCTTTGATAAAGGAGGGAGGAATGTACAGTGGAGAAAGGACAGCCTCTTCAATAAGTGGTGCTGGGAAAACTGGACAGGTACATGTAAAAGTATGAGATTAGATCACTCCCTAACACCATACACAAAAAAAAAGCTCAAAATGGATTAAAGACCTAAATGTAAGGCCAGAAACTATCAAACTCTTAGAGGAAAACATAGGCAGAACACTCTATGACATAAATCACAGCAAGATCCTTTTTGACCCTCCTCCTAGAGAAATGGAAATAAAAACAAAAATAAACAAATGGGACCTAATGAAACTTCAAAGCTTTTGCACAGCAAAGGAAACCATAAACAAGACCAAAAGACAACCCTCAGAATGGGAGAAAATATTTGCAAATGAAGCAACGGACAAAGGATTAATTTCCAAAATTTATAAGCAGCTCATGCAGCTCAATAACAAAAAAACAAACAACCCAATCCAAAAATGGGCAGAAGACCTAAATAGACATTTCTCCAAAGATATACAGACTGCCAACAAACACATGAAAAAATGCTCAACATCATTAAACATTAGAGAAATGCAAATCAAAACTACAATGAGATATCATCTCACACCAGTCAGAATGGCCATCATCAAAAAATCTAGAAACAATAAATGCTGGAGAGGGTGTGGAGAAAAGGGAACACTCTTGCACTGCTGGTGGGACTGTGAACTGGTACAGCCACTATGGAGAACAGTATGAAGGTTCCTTAGAAAACTACAAATAGAACTACCATATGACCCAGCAATCCCACTACTGGGCATATACCCTGCGAAAACCATAATTCAAAAAGAGTCATGTACCAAAATGTTTATTGCAGCTCTATTTACAATAGCCCGGAGATAGAAACAACCTAAGTGCCCACCATCGGATGAATGGATAAAGAAGATGTGGCACATATATACAATGGAATATTACTCAGCCATAAAAAGAAACGAAATTGAGCTATCTGTATTGAGGTGGATAGACCTAGAGTCTGTCATACAGAGTGAAGTAAGTCAGAAAGAGAAAGACAAATACCGTATGCTAACACATATATATGGAATTTAAGAAAAAAAAAATGTCATGAAGAACCTAGGGGTAAGACAGGAATAACGACACAGACCTACCGGAGAACGGACTTGAGGATATGGGGAGGAGGAAGGGCGAGCTGTGACAAAGCGAGAGAGAGGCAAGGACATATATACACTACCAAACGTAAGGTAGATGGCTAGTGGGAAGCAGCCGCATAGCACAGGGATATCAGCTCGGTGCTTTGTGACCGCCTGGAGGGGTGGGATAGGGAGGGTGGGAGGGAGGGAGACGCAGGAGGGAAGAGATATGGGAACATATGTGTATGTATAACTGATTCACTTTGTTATAAAGCAGAAGCTAACACACCACTGTAAAGCAATTATACCCCAATAAAGATGTTAAAAAAAATGACAATAAAAAATGATATATCACAGTTTGTGGGATGCAGCTAAAGCCATGATCAGAAGAAAATTTATCATCTTAAATACATGTATTAGAAAAGAAAAAAGGCTAAAAATTTTAAAAATCTAAATATCCAACTCAAGAAGTTAGCAACCTTGATATAATAAAAGTGAAACAGCTTACAGCCGAAAGGGGAGAAAAAGTGGAAAAAAGGAGAAAGCGGTGCTCATAGCCTAATTGTTCAAGGAAGAATGTCAAATGATGCCGTCGAAAGTCAACAGAACGGGGCTTCCCTGGTGGCGCAGTGGTTGGGAATCCGCCTGCCAATGCAGGGGACATGGGTTCGAGCCCTGGTCCGGGAAGATCCCACATGACGCGGAGCAACTAAGCCCGTGCGCCACAACTACTGAGCCTGCTACTCTGGAGCCTGCAAGCCACAACTGCTGAGCCTGTGTGCCACAACTACTGAGCCTGCATGCCACAACTACTGAAGCCCGTGCACCTAGAGGCCGTGCTCTGCAACAAGAGAAGCCACCGCAATGAGAAGCCCGTGCACCGCAGCGAGGAGTGGCCCCCGCTCATTGCAGCTAGAGAGAGCCCACGTGCAGCAACAAAGACCCAATGCAGACAAAAAAAAAAAAAGTCAGAACAAGAAACAGATTTTTTTTTTTAAGTATCAAAAGTAACCAATACAGTAACTAAAAACTCATCCTACAACAATAAAGGGAACATGGGAGTGATGTAAATGAGCTAAATCTTCATTTTTCCAACAGAGAGGCCTATAGTTGGTTTTATGTTGAAAAGAGGACTATGCATATAATTTAGAGTTCAGGAAGTAAGAAATGGAAGACCAAAACTAAAAGTGGTTAAAAGAATTTGCCTCTGGGGAGAAGGACTGAGAATGGGGAGGGAGGGTTAGAGCCAGCCACTTCTCATCCTAAGTTGTTCTATACTGTTTGACTTATTACTGTGAATATATGTTTTTGATTAAAAATATTAAAAATTAAACAATGAAAAACAAATACCCATGAAGATGATGAAATAGGCAAAAACTGGCCACTGCCCTGTAACTACGAATGAGAACACATGTAGCAACAGTCCAAGGAACTTTCTCTTGCACTGGCAAAGGGAAGCTGAAAATGGGGTCAGTGCTCCTGTCTGCCTCCAATCACAGTACGTGAAGTCGTGGAGCCCAGAAACATAGAGCGACAGTCCCCAGGTGCAGCCCTGCTCTCCTGAGAGATGTGCTCCAGCATCTAACTCCCACCTGCAAGGCTGGGGAGCAGAGGGTAGAGACCCGCACTGAAAGCCCTGGTAGGAAGAAGGGTTACAAGCACGTGAAGACTAGAAGAAAACTGAGAGCTGGGTGTGCTTTTTTCACGGACTTCACAAAGAACTGCACAGGTTCTCTCACAAAGCCTGAGAACAGGAGACAACCCCACCCTGCCAGGAGAGCACCTCAGCCACCTGAGCTGGCCCAGCTCTCTATCAGCCTCCCCTCCAAGTCTGGTTCGGATGAAAGGAAGCTGGCAAGTACCCAAAGGCTAGCTGAGGAGCCAATGGCGTTCTAGTCGCCTGAGGTGTGGGGAAAACGTTATCAACTAAAGGTGAAGACAGGCATGCCTATGACTGGGCAGTTTCACTCCTGTAAGCTAGAAGCCATGAGTAAGAATGCTGACAACAGCACTACTTGTAAGGTGGAAAAACGACTGAAAACAACCCAAATGCCCTGCCCACAGTAAACCAGATAAATGTTATGATACATGAGTATAACAGAATATTATACAGCAATAAAAATGAATCAACTATACAATGCAGCACAGAGGCTTTTAAAGCAATACTGACTAAAAGAAGACAGTGATGAGTCCCATGGCTTCCTTTACATGAAGTCCAAGAACAGGGAACTGGACTACATTACATCATTTAGAAATCATACATGGGGGGTACAACTCTCCAGGAGAGCAGGGAAATGATGAGTAGGTCAGGGTAATGACACCTCTAAGGACAAGGGCAGGGGCTGTGACCAGGGAGGGGTATACAGGGGGCATGTGGGTGCTATTTCTTGACTTGGTGGTACTTTCAGTGTTCACACTATAATCATTTATTAAATCGTATGCATGTATACATATATACTTTTTACATATGCTATTTTTTACAGTAAAAAAGTTTTAAAAAGGGACTTCCCTGGTAGTCCAGTGGTTAAGAATCCACCTTCCAGTGCAGGGGATGTGGGTTTGATCCCTGATTGGGGAACTAAGATCCCACATGCCATGGGACAACTAAGCCCGCACACCACAACTACTGAGCCTGCATGCTCTAGAGCCGGTGCACCACAACTAGAGAGCCTGCATGCCTCAACTACTGAGCCCATGCGCTCTGGAGCCTGTGTGCCACAACTAGAGAGCCTGCGTGCTGCAACTACTGAGCCCACATGCTCTGGAGCCCGCACGCCACAACGAAAAGACCCCGCGTGCCGCAACTAAGACCCAATGCAGCCAAATAAATAAATATTTTTTAAAAGCTGTATTAAAAAAAAAAGTTTAAAAGAAAGAGTAGGTCTAAGAACTTTAAAAAGTACAAATACAGACAAACGTCTCTGAAATCTACGAGAAATTTAAAAGAAAACAAAAATAAGGAGAAATAACATATAAGAGATTTATAATATGAGAGAATACGGATGAAAATTGAAAATAATTCACATACAATGACTCAGTAATTGTACGAGTGGGAATCCATCCTAAAATCCTAATTATAGAAAAGGCTTATGTATTAAATGTTCTTCACAGTACCACTCACACTAGCAAAGAACTGAAGATGTGTTAACGACCAATGCAATAACCATGGTATGTGATATAAACAACACAGCACAGGGGGTCCTCCCAGGCTATCCTATGCAACAATTATCCCGGGATATTGTTGACTTCTTCTGCTTTTCTCACTAAGATATAAATCCTTGAGGGCCTGGACAATTTCTTATTCATAAATCTTTCCTTGGGACTTGGCAGAGTACGTAAAATGCGGTAAGCACTCAAAAATTTTTAACGGACAAACAAGTTAAGCCAACACTTTTGCTTCCTGCAAAGAAAAAGGAATTATCTTTGAGTATGTTTCCTCTTTCGGGAATTTTTCACACATACAGGAGAAATCTTACTTTATTGGTGCAGTAGCTCCGTCTGTTCCTCCGAGCTCAGAAAGGGGAACGAGGTCCCATTTGAAGTGCAGCCCCCAGTTGAATCCTCCCCGCACCACAGGGGACGAGCTGTAGGCCAGCGTGTCAGCGCTGATGATGTCGATCACCGGGCACACCACCATTTGCCGGTCCTCCCGGATGGCAGCCAGCAGGGGCTGCAGCCACATCACATTCACCTCACAGTGGCTGTCCAGGAACACCAGGACTTCTCCTGGGGAGGCAAACAATAGGGGCCCTGAGAGCTGCACCACACTCAAGTTAGGTATGGCCACCAGTTCAAGTGCGGATGCATTTACAGGTGTGAAAGGTAACTGCCACCCTTCCAGCCCAAACTATTAAACCGGTACTCAGAAGTCTGTTAGCCAGGAATTCTGTCTGAAGTGCACTGCTATGATTGAAGAACATATGCAAACAATATGCACAACCTGTGAAAAAATTTACATATTCTCCTCAGTAAAAAGATTCAAAATCTCACAGGAACAATTCAGTTCTCTGGACAGCCAGGTATGGAGTGTGGTGCAATGACAGTGGTCAGCTGTGCGTACTTTTAGTACAATTATTGTAATGGAAATATTTATGTTTAGTATGTATTTCCCTGCCTTAGTAAACAGAGATTAGAGAACGTAACTCATTCTCGCTGGTGACACGGACACATGACCCCAGTTATCGATTATGGCTACAACACAGCGATTCTCAGGAGTGAGAGAAGCGTGCAGCCCTCTCATCACGTCAGCAACACAGCTCCCTTCTCCTTGGATTCACCACTTGACTGCCACGCACTCATTTCTTTTTCTTCCATTTCCCACCCTTCCTTTCTAATCCCCCCAGTCTCATCAGCCACGGGATGCTCTTTTCTTCTAGTCAGTAAAATTAAAATCGTAAAGGTTTTATCATGCATTTTTAACTCCTCTTGATACATGTGAGGAGTGAGGGTTTCTTTGATAATCCCAAACTTCTTTGATAACTTAATGGTTATTCTGAACAGCTGAGAAACTTAGAATCTCATCATCAGACAGCATTATTATTTTTCCAAACGTTTATCCATGAAATGTATTGATACAGATTTTATGTGAATTTCATAAAGCACCGGATGCATCCTATTCCAATTAACAGTAGCAGAAATACCTCCAGCAAGAAAGTTCTCCAGGATGACAGTGACTTAGTCATGTCCTTCAAGGCCTCCTGTGAAGGACTTTATGAGGATGTACAGAGCATACAGCTCACCAGATGTCATTCAATACAGAAAGGCAGAATGTTCAACCTGTACACTATTCAAGTGAAGTGAGGTCAATTCAATCAAGTTTCCTCTGAGGAGAAAATGTATAATAGCTTTTTTTAATTCGAAAAATGTTACTTTTTCAATTAAAGACAATTTAACTAAATGAAGTAAGATAATAACAGTCACATCGAACCTGAGATTGATTTCCCAAAAACTGGCTTATTTTTTGACAGATCCTAAACTATATTTGAACAAGGACCAACAGATCATAAAGAAAAAAACTACATGACTGGGCTTCCCTGGTGGTGCAGTGGTTGGGAGTCCGCCTGCCGATGCGGGGGACGCGGGTTCGCGCCCCAGTCCAGGAAGATCCCGCATGCTGCGGAGCGGCTAGGCCCGTGGGCCATGGCCGCTGGGCCTGCGTGTCCGGAGCCTGTGCTGCGCAACGGGAGGGGCCGTGGCAGTGGGAGGCCCGCGTACCGCAAAAAAAAACCAAAACCAAAAACAAAAACTAAATGACTATTGTTACCTGAAAAACAATAAACTCTCAGTAATAATATACTATAACAGTACGATGTTCTGTGACATAATCTTGCCATTCCCTACAAATACCCCACAATTTTCTATCTCGTGCCTTCAATACGTCAAAATAGACTCTAAAGAAGAAATCTCGCCTTGAACTCAATCTGCATATGACTGCAGACTGGATGGAGGGAAGCTACTTCTCATTTTTTGTTAATTGCTCCTGTTCACTGCAGGTTTAAGAGAAAGGAGGGAAGAAGAAAGATTCTAAAAATGAAGTCACAGCTAAACCCAGCGAATGGGACAGTGGGTGTACAAGGAGGGGTGGTGGCAGGAAGCAGTGCCAACCACTTAAACCCCAGTGACTGGTTATCTTGAGGAGAGCAGTATATGGGAAGGTAGGAGATTTTTTTCACTACTGGGGAACGCCCCCCCAAAGTTCTGGAATTTTAAAATTATCTTGATTATTTTTGCCATATCCAGGCATCACCTGCAGTATTAGATACCTAATATTTTTAAACAAACTCATTTGTTTTAACTGAAATAAATGTATTTTAAAAGGAAAAATTTTTATCAAGATCATAAATGAAAATTAGGATCACCAACCTTCCATAGAGGTAACCGTAAAAAGAAATACATTTGAATCAATATAATGTAACTGAAGAAAAACCAGAAAGGCAGACCACTGAGGACTCCAGAGTTCACCTCCTTGGAGCCTGTGCTTTGGGACAACCAGGTTGGAGTTATGGAAAGGCCTTTCCCAAACTGAACAAGCCTCACCTTTCCTGCTGGCAGTGCCCCCTAAAGACACCATTTTTCAGAGACTGACGCAGGATCAGGAGGGCAGGAGACTCAGAGCCCTCATCACTCAACACCCACCAAGAAAGGCCAGCGGGAAGTTCTACCTGTTGCGTGGGCTGCTCCAATCATTCTTCCTCGAATCAATCCCTCACGTTTTGTATTTCTTATTACTTTAATCTTTCCAGGGAGGTATTTTTGGATGTATTCATCTAGTTCTCCTTTCACATCGTCTGAAAATGAAGAGTCGCACAACTGTTCAAACCACATGAGACATATGCACAGACATTTTGCAGATTCTCTAGAGTCGTGGCTGGCACTTGCGACAACAAATTTTTAGGCAAATATAGAATCTTCTTCTGCTTTATTTTAAAAGAAGATCATAGCTTATCTTGGAAGGAAAAAAATGAGGGTTAAGAGTTGGAACACTAGCCTAAAGGAATAGTTACTTAAGTTATAGACTTATCTGTATTTCCATAGCAACTAACACAACGCTTTGCATAAAGAATGTTTGAAATGAGTATCTTGAGTGAATGAATGTTTGGCTGACTGCATATAAATCATATTTAAAACAAAATGATATGTAAATATCTTTTGTTTCAAAGTGATTTATTAAGTCCTACTCCATTTCAGAATAGTTGAGAAACGACTTCTATTTCCCTACCAAGAATTATATAACAGCAGCAGTAAATACATTCTTTTATTAATTTAGCACCTTCCATGGGCACTAAATATTTTTTAAATTCTAGCTCATTTACCTTTAGATTTCATAATAACTTCAAAGATCATATAAGATAATTAAATAAATAATTCTTTCTATAGTTAGTATATAAACCATTGTAAATGATCATGAATTTTCCCTTTTAGAAAATATACCAACAAAATGAAAAATACAGGTTTACTTAAAAAAAAAATTCAACACCATAAATTCTAGAATTATACTACTTAGCCAATCTTCTACTTGGTCCAGACTCAAATTCTTGGTTTTTTTAATCATTCATTTTTGAAATTCAATTTTTTTCTATTTCTCCTATGAGATTTCAATAGTTACCAAGGTTTGAGAATTTGCACCCATTGGTCTCAGTGTACATTTCCTCATTTTGTATACTTAAGTATACTTGCATACCAATTCTGTTGTTGATATATAAGAGATGCTTAATAAACCCTTGAGTTGTGAAAAAATATGTAATTGACATACAATTTATCAGTGTATCTCTGCAGGTTACTGTAATGAAAATAGCAGAAGGCTTGGGAGTTATGTAGACCAGGGGTCTAATTTCAACTCTACCACTTAACAGCTACAGGATCTTGAGCAAATTACTTAATATTTCCTCCTCTGTAAAATGGGGATACAACCTCTCTCACAAGGTTGAGGACAGCCCTCCATCCTGCTGTGTGTACATGAAATCACTTTTAGGAAGAGTCTATGTTGAATTAAATAAGGGTCTGAAGTATGTACTGAATCATAAAATACTGGCCTTCAGAGATCATCTAAGAGCTATCAGAATGCAATCCACCTTATCTAGAGACAGCTGATATAACAGACTGACGAGATAAATGTAAGCCAAAGCATTATGTCTAGTTAAAAAAGCCAATCTCAAAACGTCACATACCGTATGATTCTGTTTATATAACAACCTTGAAGGGGTGATGGAGCAGTGCAGTCTGTACCTTGACTGCAGTGGTGGTTACAGAAATCTACTCATGGGATAAAATGACAACTGTACACACATATTGTACCAATGTTAAATTCTGGGTTTTGATATTGTACTATAATGATGTAAGATGTAACCAATGGAGGAAACTGGGTGAAGGGGTACACAGGACCCCTTCGTAACTTACTGTCTATCTATAGTTATTTCAAAATAAAAATACTCTTTTAAAAAGGTAAGCCAAGGGAAAAATTTCAAGGGCCAAATTTCAGTAGCACAGTTTGAAAACAGATTACAAAGACAGTGCAGTTTCTTTGAAATTACCCTATAATCAGGCATTTAATTGTGGTTGGCTCTGTTGCAATTGCGTGCATGAGGGTCCTCCTATCCACTAAGTACTGAATGGTCAGCTCTGCTGATGTGGTCAGCACGACAGTGAACAAATGCATAGATCCCACATTGCCAATTACAATAGTCCTTACCGAAGTCACTGTCATCATCCACGAGGATAATTTCGTGAAGAAGCCGGGCTGGTGTGCGGTCTAGGACGCTGTGCACGGTCCGAAGCAAGGCAGAAAAGGCTTCATTGTAGAAACAAATAACAACACTAGCGACTGGCAGATCCGTCGGGTAAGACCTGTCTTTACATCTGTGAAGACGAATGTGGGAAAAGTCTGACATTTTAAAAGCTCAAATGTTTTAGGTTATTATTCACTAAACATTAACTGTCCCCTTGTTTGGCCTCTTCCTTACATTATTAACAAGTTTTTAAAAAGCATTTAAGATAACAGTGTGTTTTCTTTCTTTTTTTTTACATCTTTATTGGAGTATAATTGCTTTACAATGGTGTGCTAGTTTCTGCTTTATAACAAAGTGAATCAGTTATACATATACGTATGTTCCCATATCTCCTCCCTCTTGCGTCTCCCTCCCTCCCACCCTCCCTATCCCACCCGGTCACAAAGCACCGAGCTGATCTCCCTGTGCTATGCGGCTGCTTCCCACTAGCTATCTATTTTACGTTTGGTAGTGTATATATGTCCATGCCACTCTCTCGCTTTGTCACAGCTTACCCTTCCCCCTCCCCATCACAATGTGTTTTCTTATTCAAGAGTTTTACATTTGTTAATGATTTCTCCCTCCAGTACCTGCAACTCCGCTTATTTTTAGGTCAACGTTTTAAAAACTTGAATTTTTTTTTTCTTTTTTGGTACATAAAAATGTTTTTACTAAAATCACTGCGAGTTTTTAATGCAGTACTCATAAGCTGATGTTCAGTTTCTTCTCCTCAAAGAGGTTTCAAAAGGAAATAATGGAAATGTGAAATTCTGTATTTGAAAATTTTATTTTTTGCCCAATAATAGAAAAAGATTTGAGTATACTATGATATATATCAGGATAATGGAAGAGCTTCCATGTAAGCAACTATTTGATAAAAAGGATTAAGTGGCTTTAAGCAGCCACAAGAAAAAACCCCACTAACTTAAACAATAAGATCTGGTATTCCATGCTCTTTTGCATGGCATACAAAGCCTTCCAATGTCTGGGCCCTGCCCACCTCCAGTTTCTTGCCATTCCTCCACTACAGGCAAAGTGAACTGTTTCAGTCCCTTTGACAAATAGTATAATTTTATGCCTCGATCTGTTCCCTATATAGGGGAAAACCTTCCCTTACATCACTGCTCAGTCATCACGCTCTATGAAGCCTTCCCTGGTCATTCTGGTTTGGAGGACCCCATTTCACCAACTCCTATCACAGCCCTCATTCTTGTGTAACTGCAATTACTCACTTCTTTATCTACCTCCCCTGCTAGACTCTAAGCCCTGTGAACCAAGAGACTATGTCTTATTTTGTTTATTTCCAGGGCCTAATAGAGAGTCCAGCAAACACAAAAGGTGCTGAAACAGATCTGTGGAATGAATGACTGATTGACCATATGAATGAAAAGCCTTTGAAGAAACAAAAATAATGAAAACAGAAAAGTGAGATGATGAGTAGAATTCTTCACTGATATTAATTCCTTTTCGCCATGAATCCAATAAACAAATATTTAAAATAAACTTATGCTTGGAAGGTTATTTAATTATATGCAGGTAGCACCTCCCTCCTTTTTCCCACGTGATTTTAAATTTCAAAAGAAACACAGCAAGCTCTAGAACTTTGTCAGTACAATCTCAGACCATGTGGCTTCAAGCACAGTATGAGTGGAAATCTGTCTTAGGTTTTCTAGTATCCTGAATAATAAGCCTAATTGCAAAATATTAACACCATCCCCATGGCTTATTATGCTGGCACTAAAAACACTGTGTTATTAGAGTGATTAGCAGAAACCAATAAGGAACATACGCTGCATTCCTTGTATCTGGCACATCTCTATGGTAGCCCAAGCGGTTACTAATAAGCATATTGAAGGCATGTTTCTGATACCCCAAGTCTCTCAACTCCTGATCACGTTCATTAAAAATCATACCTGCAAAAGAGTGACGTCACAGTCAGTACATTAAATCTGGAAAGGAATGCTACAGTTACTGTTATATTATGATCTTAACTTCTTATAACCAGGTAATAGCCATGTTTCTCAAATCTAGTTTGTCTCCATTTTCAAAAAAGTAAATTGAGGTTTAAGTCAAATTTTTATCAGTTTAGCTCAAAAAGCAAGTGTACCTTAACCATAAATGACACCTGCTCACTAGCCATAATCTTAAGAATATTTTCAAGAGAAAAACTTACCTATGACCAAGAAAAAAAGAGACTTAATGATGATTTTTCCATAAAAACAATAGATTATAGAACCCCATATGGACCTCAACAGGCCCCAATTAATGCAAGGTTGCTTTTGGTTTTGTTAATTTTTGTCTAAAAAAAAAAAATTTTTTTCTTTTTTAACAGCAAGTTTTTATATGAACTCCTCCCCTAAGAAAATTATACTACTGATAAACCTTTCTATAAAGTCTCTGGTCAGGAAAGTCCTCCACAGATCTAATCAAGATCATTATAATTTAACATCTTTGCTCTAACATTGCCAGAAATCTCACCTTCACCAAGAACAATAAAGCCTCCTCTTGCTTCCTCTTTCCCACATAAAACCTTTAGCCTCTCCTCACAGAATGACTCCCTTGTAACAGCATTTCTCAAAATCTGGTCATGGAAAACTAATTCCACTGGACATTAATAGACGTTAAAAAGAAAAAAAAGATTTCACGGTCAAATAATTCAGGAAAAGATTGGATTTTAAAAGTCAAGTAAGGGAATTCCCTGGTGGTCCAGTGGTTAGGGCTCAGCACTTTCACTGCCGGGGCCCAGGTTCGAGTTGAGCAGGGTTTTTTTTTTTTTAAAGAATATTGTTTTATGGATTCCCAGATGTGAGGGGATGAAATACAGAATGCAGTGCTTCCCCAATTATCTTATTTATCCCTATGATTTCTTCTTAGGGTTTTATAGTCTTTGATCCATTCTGAGTTAATTTAATATGACATGAGGTAAGGGTTCAACTTCATTCCTTTGCATGGGGGTATCTATCTGTCCCCGCACCACTGGTTGAAAAGACCATTCTTCCCACATTAACTGCTCTTGGCACCCTTTCTGAACATCAACTGACCACAGATGTTACTTGTCCTCAGGTATTACTGACCATAGATGCTACTTGACCACAGATGTCACAGAGTGTATTTTCAGACTCTCAGTCTATCCTTTGATCTACTGATGCATATCTATTCTTATGCAGTATCACACTGTCAGGACGTTTTGAAATAGAGAAGTGTGTGTTCTCCAGCTTTGTTCTTGTTCAAGACTGTTCCGGCTATTCAGAGCCCCTTGCAATTCCTTATCAATTGTAGAATCAGATTTTCCATCTTTTCAACAAAGGCCATTGGGATTTTGATAAGGTTTACATTCAATCTGTGGGTTGCTTTGGGTGGTACTGACATCTTAACAGTATTTAGCATTCCATCCATGAACCTCTTTCCATTTATTTAGGTCTATTTTTATTTCTTTCAATAGTGCTGTGTAGTTTTCAGTGTACAAATCTTAGACCTCCTTGGCCATATTATTCTTAAGTACTTTATTCTTTCTGATTCCATTGTAAATGGGATTGTTCCCTTAATTTTACTTTTGGACTGTTTATTGCTAGTGTCCAGAAATACAACTGGTTTTGGTGTGCTGATCTTGTACCCTGTAACTTTGCTGAATTCATTTATTCGCTATAATATTTTTTGTGATCTTTAATAAAGAATTTAGTTTTTCAGGTAGGTAATTTGGGTTTGTCAGTTCAATTATCTACAATTCTCTCACTACTTCTTTCACAGGCAAACAAAGTCCATTCAAAATGGTAAACCCAATGTTACTTCTTTATAAAAGTTTTACAAAAATTACTATAAACAAAAAAACTAGAAATTTTCCCATGAATGCTTTTAAAATGTCCAAATGGCTGTTTGAAAAAGATTAGAAGGTATATTTTATGAAAACTAAAGTAAGTAATGGCCTCCATTTCCTCATATAATTTTAAGTATGTTCAACCTCCTGTATTAGGAAGTGATTAAATCCTAGGAACTGATTTTATTCTTTGAAACTATGAAGTGAAAAAAAATCTGTTTTAACATTTCCTTTATATTCTGTGGATCTTTCAATCTCTCAGAATCTCTTACTATATGCTTTTACTCTTAAATTACTTATTATTTGATGTGTCAATGAAGATCAAAGTTCTTTTTTAAGTTTTAAAGACAAAGTTTTAAAGGGCTCGTTTACCCCTTAAAATAAAATTTGCTGAAACCAGGACTCTAAAATTACAGTATTCAGTCTTGCTTCCAAATTGAACAGAATATAATTTCTGAAGAATAAAAAAGTTTCTATTTTATAAACTCCTGTACTTAATAAATATATTCCGGCACCTGAATAATTCTTATAAGTAGAAATCTTATTAGATATAAGTAATCTCAACTTATTTCCAAACTCAAAGGTTTATGTTCTGTTTTAATTAACTCTGCCTTTCAAAATATGTTAAATACAGTCACTTTTGAACCATTACTTTCCCTTATTAAATAATGCTAGCAATTATAATCCTTCCCCATAGGTTCCATTTTCTCTCTAGCCACTTAATTTTTCATTCTTTCTTTTCTTTTCTTTTTTTCCTATTCTGGACCTCATTAGTTTCTCCCAAGTCCTCATAAAATATTGACGTCAGAACTGGACAAAACAGAATATAACTCCCTACTGAGTCTGCAAAAATCATACGACCTCAGCTAGTTCATGAATGAAATAAATCAGTGCAGAAAAAATGTCACATTTCTAATTCTCTGAACAATACATGATTTAAAGAACAGTTAAACTTCCAATGAGAAAATACTTTGACATGCTGCTAGCAAAAATCAAATACACTTACCCAGCTCAGAAGAGAATTTCATGTTGCCTCTTTCTGGATCTTCAATATGATTCTCTATCAGATCATCAATTTTGTTTGCTTTGAACTGTGATTCTAACACTTGACTTGGACCTCGAGTGAAACGGGGATAAAATTTTTTGGGTAATGGTCCATGGGGCCCAGACCCCTTGATGGGCACATTCTTAAGTGGCTGAGTCACTTCACTGAAGTTGAAATAAACAAAAAGCAAAACTGTCCAGGCTGCAGATGTAAAAAGGCATCCATAACAGAAATATCGAACTGTGACACTTCCCATTATAGACCTAGCATAGCTGAAGGCCCATTTTCAGTTTCCTAAAAGAGAAAGATAAATATGTTAGACACAACAAGACACTTCTAAATCAACTACCAAGTTTATGTTCAGTTTTCCAACCTACCAAATAGCACTTCTAAACAATTTACGTAGGACGACCCCTATGCATACCACTAACCAACAGCCAAATATAAGAAGATATATATATGGATAGCACCGAATAAAAAAATAAAGGGATTCAACAATTAAAACCACAAGCCAACGTGTTAGTACTCAGAAAACTAACGGCAGCAAGATAGCTGACTTACTCATTTGCCCATGTTAATGGATACTTCTTCACCTTTGTTCTGGATTGCTTTCAGTATGCTAATTTTTTTTCAGGTTCTAACTTTTCATAAGGAAAATACAAGTACTACATGCATCATGATAGTACATCTAAGGTCCCTTCTAATTGTAAAATTATAAGACTAAATCTTTTAATCCAAGGATATTAAAATCTGTTATTAAAAATAAGCAACTTGAAAAAATAGATTCACTTTCCAACCAAAGATTAAACCTGCCCTAACGTCCACTCTAGATTCAACAGTTACATTTCAAATTTATAACTGAAAGAGTTCAAATAATTATATTTTCCCTCTCCTTATGATGTCTTATAAACAATATGGCATCGAACAGCAGTTTTTTCCTAAGCTTTCTGATAATATCTGGTCTTCATGAAGGCCTCACACAACCTCCTGAGGAATTCTTTGTAAAGAGCCCAATGCACATATAAAATAGTTTCACTGAACACGAGGGCAGAGAAACCCTATTTAAGTAATGTATATACAGAAGAAATCTACAAAGCAATACTACTTATCCATTACTTCTTATTTCTATAGTATGAAATAATTTAAAAAATAATATTATCATGCCTCCCAAATCAGGACAAAGCAAATCAACATCAGTAAGCTCCAATTCAAAAATTAAGCTGTTTTGGGCTTCCCTGGTGGTGCAGTGGTTAAGAATCTGCCTGCCAATGCAGGGGACATGGGTTTGAGCCCTGGTCCGGGAAGACCCCACATGCTGCGGAGCAACTAAGCCCGTGCGCCACAACTACTGAGCCTGTGCTCTAGAGCCCGCGAGCCACAACTACTGAAGCCCGTGTGCCTAAAACCCGTGTTCTGCAACAAAGAGAAGCCACCGCAATGAGAAGCCCAGGTACCACAATGAAGAGTAGCCCCCGCTCGCCGCAACTAGAGAAAGCCTGCGCGCAGCAACAAAGACCCAACGCAGCCAAAATAAATAAACAAAATTAATAACAAAATAAAAGTTAAAAAAAAATTAAGCTGTTTTGTTTGTACAGTTATGCTGTAAGCCCAGAAGACAGTAAATAGCTCAATTTCTTAACGATCTGCCAACCAAGAACTATTATATATTTCACTACCTGTCAATTCAAAAGCTCAAAAAAGAAAGAAAACACCACCACCACCATCCAAACAAACAAAAACTCCCACTACAGTAACACCAAAGGGAAATGACTACAGTACAAAAGGAAAGTCAGGTAACAATGAAAGTACTGTCATGTCAGCTGTTAGCACTTTTAAAATTAAAGACAGGCACAGAAAAAGAACCTTATTTGGAATTAGAAGAAAATGTTGAATGGAGGATTCAAAACAAATGAAAAATCAAAAGTTGCAACTTTGCAATAGAAATGTTGCAGAAATACAGACTAGAAACATTTAGGTGAAACATTAGATTTCAACTAAAACAGGCATTATAACTTCCTAAAATATTTGCTTGGGGGTAGGAAAAAATAAGCAAACAAACAACATCGAAAACAAAAGCACTAATTCCTCAAAAGGCCATGAAATTCTTTAGTTCAAGACTAACTGCACAGGCTGCACTGATGCCATAAAGAACTGTGCATCTGAGGAGCCAATCGCTTCTTCAACTATCTAAGAAGATTTATATTTAGATTGTTTTCCTCAAACCACTCCAGGCCTTCCCAGTTCAACCTGGCCTCCTTGACCCTGAACGCAGAATGGACCAAGAGAGAAAGTCAGCCAATCCCTTCTCCAATCACAAGAAGCCAGACGATGCTATTCAAGGGCTATTCCATCAAGCAGCTCTGGAAGACAGGTGGACACTGACGTTTCGTTCACATCCTTCTTCTTTATCCTAAATCCCACCACCATGTTGGGTGATGTCCAGAATCCTTCAAAACCCTAGTTTCCAAATGTCTTGATTCATGTCCCTCCTACAACCTTCACCCACATTCTACGTAAGGGACCCTGCCCCCACTCTTGACTTTATCATCATCCACAACTGATCGACGAACCTCTTAAATATTAAATGAAAACCTCACTCTCTGAGCACAGTCCTGACTCCCCAGCTGTGTTGTTCTTACCCACACTAGCATCTGTCCCCTGGTATCCGCCTGGTTGGCTTCCAGAGCCCCCGTGTATACCAAAACCCACAGACGCTCAAGTCCCTTACTGGCCCTCTTTATCCATGGGTTTCACACCCAGGGATTCAACCAACCACAGATGGCAATTTCTGTCCGCGGTTGGTTGAATCCACAGATTCAAAACCTGTGAAATACGGAGGGCAAACTGTATTATTTATTGAAAAAACTCCACGTATAAGTGGACCCAAGCACTTTAAACCCCTGTTGTTCAAGGGTCACCTGCACTACTATTATTAGTTACTCTTCAATCTCACTGCAGGCACTCAACCTTTCCCTTCTCTCAAAGCTTATACTTTGCTTCTGTCCCCAGCCACATATCCCTTAAGGACTTTACTTCCTTCCCTACCCAGTTCTGAACACGATGTTGGATAATATTAGAAAGTGGTAAGTGCTAAGGAGAAAAAATAAAGCAGGGAAGAGTGATATGAAGTAGAAAAGGGTATGTGAAATTTTAGGTAGATGGTTAGGGAAGGCCTTACCGAGAAGGTGATATTTAGAGAAGGCCTGAAGGAAATAAAGTAGTGAGTACTGCAAATATCTGGGGAAGAGCTGTAGAGCAAAAGCAAATGCCCTCAAGAACTGGGGTCAGTTTGCATCCTATAGACCACATGCTGTGATCACAAGACAACTAAGCTGAAAACCAATCAATCACAAAAAGATAACCAGAAAACTCAAAAAATGTCTAAATGGAAATTAGAAGCTATTTAGAACTAAATAGTTGAAAATGCTACTTTTTGAAACTTGTGAGATACAGCAAAAGCTAAATTTATAGCCTGGGATGCTAATGTTAGAAAATACAGACCACAAACAATGAATTCAGAAAAACAGAATAAGCCCAACAAAAGTAAAAGAAGGAAACAAAAACAGTTACATCAGGAATTAACAGGAAATGAAAATGAGACAAGGTAATAACAAAGCCAAAAGTTGGTTCTTTAAAAGATCAATAAAATTAACAAAGCACTGGCAAGACTAATCAAGAAAAAAAGAGAGAAAAAAAAAGATAAAAAGAGAGAAAGCAGGAATAAATTAATACCAAAAATGAAAAAGAGAGCATAAATATAGATGTGGATTAAAAATAAAAGCATTGTTCATAAATTTAAGTGGAATGGATAAATTCCTAGAAAAATGTAAATGCACAACTAAGACTGGAAAATCAGGAAACTGGGATGGCTGTACTAGTGCTTTTGAATATTAAACCATTTCTAGATAAAAAATTTCTAGACAGTTTTACAAGTGAGTTCTATCAGACATTTGAGGAACAGATGAATAGTCTCATACGACTGCCTCCAAAGAACAGAAAAAGAGGAAATGTGCTCTTGTCTCACTTTCTGAAGCTATTATCATCCTGGTAACAAAACAGGGACAGTATGAGGAAGGAATATTAAAGACAATCTCTGGGAGATTATGAAAATCTTAAAGAGAACACTAAAACTGAAACAAATAATGTTTTAAAAAATGAATACATATGAACAAGTTATATTTACTTCAGGAATACCAGGCTGGTTCAATATGTGAAAACCTATTATTATCTACCTTAAAAAAAATTAAAGGAAAAAATGCATATGATTTGGTCAGTGGAGGTTATAAAGAGCTTATTAAAATTCAACACTCAATTCTTAGCAACTAGGAATAGGGAAATCCTTAATCTGACCAAGAGCATCTCTAAATATCTTACAGCAAAAATGATACTCAACGGTGAAATGATGAAGTCATTTTCTTTAAAAACAGGGACAAGATTAGGATGCCCACCATAAATATAATATTGAAGGCAACAGTTCCAAAATACAGGAGTCCCTAGAGTGTTTATTACAAATGCAGATTCCCGGGGCTCTGTGCCAGATGCACTAAACAAGAATTTGCGGAGGTAGCACTAAGCCGTCTACAGCTTTGACAAGCTTCCACAGTTAATAGGTTACCTGTGACGCAGAGACAGATTGGGAACCAAACAACAGATAATGAAAAGACAAGATTAAGTTCTAATCCCATTCTGTCACATACTGGCTATGCAACTTTGGAAAAATTACCAAATTTTCTTAGCCTCATTTTCATCAACTGTATTCCAAGTTAACAATACTGTCTATCTTACTAGATACTTAGAATTAAATGAAATACTTAGAATTATGTAAGATAGTATTTGTAAAGCATCAGGCACAATGGTTAGCACACAAACACTGATTTGCACGGGACCAAGATAATCTCCATAAAAACTGTGGCTACCTTTTGTGGCTGCTTCTTTGCTCACTGTACTCCCTTCACTTAGCGTAGTGCCACAATAAATGGCACATAGAAGATGCTGGAAAATATCTACAGAATGAAAGAATATAGGACAAATTCAACACATGTTAACTTTTTCCTCCTCATTAGGTCTAAATTTAAAATATAATATTAAACGTATTTGTGACCATCCGTTCCTTACAATGACCTACAAGTCCCTAATAGTCTGACTATATCTCCGACTACTTCCCTCCTCATTTATTTCATCCTAGAAACTGGTCTCCTTATACGTCGCTAAATGTATTAGGGATTATGCATTGGTTCTTCCCTCTGCCTAGAATACTTTTCACCCCAGCTAAGTTCACCTCTATTGAATCTTTG